GGCTATTTTAAATTAGATAGAATAAAGCTGAAGTTTTGAAAAAGTTTTGAAAATTCTGTGAAAGACAAATCTTGTAAAAGAAATATCTAGTAAAAATTAAAGGGGTATTATTCAATTTTTCTATAAATCGAACACTGGAGTAAAAGCAAAACAGAATTTTCTTAGACCTCTGATCTACTTTTTAACAAAAATTCATAAAGTGTTATAAAGGTTTATGAGAATCTCACCTTATGGTCAAACTGTTTAAGATTGGATAGATTCATATATAAGGTTTTATTAAAAATTGGCATTAATAGTACACTATTGACATTAATAGTACACTAATGCAAGCATAAAATTTGGCTTTCTTGAACAAGATTTTGATGTAATATTGAAGAATTATCAATTTTTTTTTGCCTTTTGAATACAGGAAAGAGAAGGAAAAGACAAGAGACAACTTTTATGGAAAGCTGAGTCTTCCCTCTATCAATGAGTCAAGCTTCTTGCCTTTTAAAATTTTTTGAGTCATTATTTTGGCTAAATGAATAAGTTATGGTGACCTGGAATTCTATTTTATAATGTCAAGTGTTTTAAACCTTCAACATATTTGACAGGCTTGCCAAAATCAAATTTCAGCTTCAAATTGTTTTCTCTGACCTCTAACTTTCGGATGCTACAGAGAGCCCTTGAAGCATTGAAAAGAGAGGTAAACAGAATTATCTGACATGTTAAGTTACATGGGGAGCATTGTCAAAATAAAAAATAATGTTTAACCTTCTTCAGATTAGATTTTAGTGAATGATGTTAATATATGTTCCAAAATTTTATGGGATTTCTAAAATTCTAATATGTCTGATTATATGCTATTAATCATAATTATGGTTATTATGTTAAGTTTATGTAGACCACAGAAATAACCAAATTTCTTTGTCACTTGTATCTTTATGAGTGTTTAAAGTCATTTCCATGGTTAATTGCTGATACAGTTTCCAAAAATTTTACAGTCACCCAGAATTCTAGAATATAGTGTCTTTTAGGAGGCTCATGAAAGAATGGAAAGAACCCTGAAAAGCACTCTTGAATACAGGTTTCTGGTATCTTTAGAATCATGACATTCAGAGTATGTGAGAATTCTTGAAACCATAATTAAAAGACTGGTTTATAAACCTGCTAACCCAATTAGAACAAAATTTAATTGAATACCAAAAAATTTGCCAGATTTTCATGCTAAATCAGTCAATACTGAAATTGTTCAGATATACAACTTGAATCAACTCCATGGTCTAAGTCAAATTACCTATGATAACCCATCAGTTATCAGTGCTATACATCTAAATTGGAGAAACAACCAGCATTCAAGAGGATATAAGACCGGTGTTAAGCACAGACTCTTGGAGAACCAGGACAGCAGCCTTGTCCTTCCTGAGTCCTTGAAGCTTTCATTATTAAAGGTTCTGCATTTCATGACTCATCATGAAAAAAATAAAATGATCTAAATTAAATATATATTTGTGTGGTGACTTCTAAATTGCTGAAATCATTTATAACCAATGTTTGGTTTGTCAAACCCATATTCCTGGGAAGACAATCAAAGCTTCAGGTACATTTGGCTACCTGATGGTCCATTTAAACATTTATAGAGGGATTTAACTCAATTGTCATGAACGGTGCATGTTTCCTGGTTGTACGATAGCTCTCCCATACAAACGGCTGATGTTACATAGATTGTCATGCCACAGGGTATTTTCACCAGGTAAAGAAAGCATCTTATGGCTGAGGACAATCAACTTCATTACCATCTAGAACCTTAAGATTGCATCTTCTGAGAACATCAGAGAAAGACTGCCCTTTCCATCAATACTACAGCAAAAGTACAGGAACTTGAACTTTGAGTTTATAATCTCACAACCAAGAAGGTTCTTTTTACACTCTTGGAACTGTACACCCATTGAAAACACCTTAAGGTAAAGCCAACCAGGGAAGTTCCTCCCCAGAAGAACTTGGCATTCTTGATATGAACAGCTTTTCCCAAGATCACGGATCAAGACTTCTCTATTATCATGAGACTCTTACCTTTTAATATTTTTTCCCTTGCTTATACCTCTAAGGACAATAGAAGTGAAAAGGGGATCTGTTATGTGCACTCATGGGGTTTATTTGTGAAGGATTTTGTAGCCAGTCTTACACATGGATAACCTTATACCTTAACAGATGGAAGATGAAGGCCACACATAGATGAGAAATTTTAATGGTACATACTTTGCCTCATAATCAGTCAGAAACAGAATATTGGTTCACCTCTCTTAACCTACATCATGGGCTAAAGAAAAAAATCTCCCAGAGGCCTTCACTCTTCCAGAAAGGCATCATTTGTGTGGTCCATTTTTCATGGTTTGGAGTAAAAGAGGCAATAATTAGAAATGTATCCCTCATGATAGGCTCTATAGCAGACCCTACTGTAAAGGCTATAGTGATCCAACAGACTTTAATTCTCTTGTGCAAGTCATGCTAAATAATAGAATTGTTCTAGATTACTTACTAGCTACACAGAATTATCTGTGCAGCTGTGGGCACTTGTGGTCTACGGAAAAATACATCAAATGTAAATTATAGAAATTCAGTTGTAGGAAATTAATGAAGAGACTGCTTACTTAAATGAATAGACTCTTCATATAGCTCATTTTTAATCTATTTAATTCTAGGTGGTTTGGTTTATGGGGACCCTAGGCAAGGAGCATACCCCATACTCTTGGTATTATCCTCTCTATCATCATGCTGTATTCACTCAAGGGTTTTAAACATTTGCACACAGCCATCTCTAGAATGTCAAGTGGTCTGTCTTCAACTGAAATGACAAGAGCTAAAATAAATGTCAGGCCATGAGGGCACCATGACCTATGAATGACATGCTGAGACCAGAATTCCCAAATGATGGTAACTCTGAGTGGTGCTAGGCCCTAACTTTTGGTCACACTCTCACCTAAGTAAGAATCTAAGCAAAAGAGGGGAGTTTTATTAAACAAAATTGTGTGAGGCAATTGCTTTAGACTGAGCTCATGCACTAGGCCTCAACAGACCAGACCAAAGCAAAATGGAGTCATTCATGCTAAATGTGACATAATCAAACAAGGCTTTAAGAAAACACATAGATCGTAGAACAGACCAGGTTTTGTTTTTCTCCTGTAAACAGGAAGTTCCGGCATAAAGAGGAACTCAGTCTCGTTCTCACCTTGCAAAACCCACTGCTCTATTTCCCAGTGGATTTCAAGACCAAATAAGACCATTTATGATGGTGAGGGTGACATCAATGACCAAAGTTTTTATCAATCTCTCAAAATTGAGAAGATGACCAAAATGGGGAAAAGCTTAAGGCAAGTTTCAGATAAAGCTGGCTCTGTATGTATTTTAAGTCTGCCTAAAGGTTTCTCTGTATACCGTGAACTATAATCAGTGGAGGTGTGAACAGACAGCAGCTTACCCTTGTGCCAATCACCAAGTCTTGGCCAATCGAATGTAGCCAACTGTTTGAACTGTGTTCAAATGAGGCAAACACCAACCTGTAACAAATCCAGATGTTTCTGTGCCTCACTTCTGTTTTCTGTGCATCACTTTCCTTTTTCTGTCTGTAAATCCTCTTCCTCCACGTCGCGGCCCTAGAGTTGCAGAGCCTACTCTGGCTCAGGAGGCTGCCTGATTGAAGAATCATTCATTGCTCAATTAAACTGCTTTCAATTTAATTTGGCTTACATTTTTATTTTATTGCTGCAGTTAATGTCTGGGGCTGGTGTTTCTTGTCTGAAGTGTTCAACGGTGGTGGTGGGGACAGTGGGGATCCACTTTCAGGCTCATTTATCTTTATGTCAGTAGTTCTCAGTTTCTCCCCAGGTAAAGCCCCTTTACAGGACTTCCCTAACAACATGGCAGCCAGCTTCCTCCTATGTGAGGAATGCAAGACAGAGTAACAGTGCTCAAGACAAAAACCACCATCTTTTTATAACCTAATCCCAGAAGTTACATTTCATCACTTCTGTCATATTCTTATTTGTTAGAAGCAAGTCAGTAACTTCAGTCCATTTTCAAGAGAGGGAGATTACAAAACAGTGTAAAACTCAGCAGGCAGGGATTACTGTGGGGCAATGTAGAGGCTGCCTACCAAACAGCCACAAAAACACCAAGTACTGTCTTGCTTTCGTCTCCAGATTCACAGAAGTCCTTAATTTTTCTTCAAAACTGAATTTTCATTTTGGGGCAATTATTATATATCTGATTTGATATTATTTAGTTGTAACTGGGGAAAAGGTCCTAATACTATGTATTTTTTAAAAAAAAAAATTAAAATGGCTGTTTTGAATTTCAGAAAGAGGTAGAGATGCTAAAAGTATTACAGAAATAAAGATAGAGAGAGTACAAACGTAGCTATCAAGATAGACATATAGATATTCGGATGGATAATATGTATCAGTTATCAGGAAACAGATTGCATACTTAAACGTTTGACTAAAAAATAAATTTTAAAAGGATCTATTTACGGACATGTTGACAGAGTTACACAGTCTAACAAGGGACTAGTGACAGCAGAAAGCCATTATGGGTCCAGGGCCAGAAGAGACAAGAGGAGGAAAAGACGGTACCTTTACTTGGAGAAAGCGGGATCCTTGGAACACAGAGTGACCCTTAATATGTATAGGAAGCACAACTGCGGATCTTATTTAAATGGAGATTCTGGCTCAAGCAAGCCAGGTGTTCTGCATTTTAACAACTCCCAGGTGCTCCTGATGCTGCTGGTTCAAGGATCACACTTGAAATAGCAACGGCCTAATGACTCAAGCAGACCTCTTTTAAAGAGGATTGGGGGAGAGTAAAGGATTCTTTTGAAATTTGAAAGACAAGATTATATTAATATTTCAGCTTTATTTATTTAAAAACCAGTAATGGAGAAATGCTGTAGAACTTTGCTCCTTAGAATAGCTAAAATTCAGGTTCTTGTCACATGACCAGAAAAATTTAGGCACACAAACACATTGAAGGGTGAATATAGCAGGACTTTATTGGAAAAGGAAAAAAAGAAAGAAAGAAACGCAGCAAAGTGAGATGGAGACCTGCTAATAGGTCCTCTACCTCACAGATTGATTCCCAGGTCACCATATAAACTGAAGAAAGCAGGTTTCTCCCCTGCATAAGGTTTGGATTCGCCGTGGCTCCACCCACTTCCGCTAATGTGCTTGTTGGGCTCCAGTCCACTGTGGGCATGCCCAGATAAGCCCTGGGAAGCTTCCCTCATTTGCACGAAAACATCTAATGTAAATACTTGTGGCACAGGTCAGATATTCTTCAGGGACCCCTTATTATCTGGCTCGGCATTTGACTGTCTCATTCCCCACTCTAAAGATGTACATCTATCTTCTGTTAGAATAAAGATAAAGATAAAGACAAAAACCAATCTTAACTGCTCTCTAATGACAGGGGGTAGGAGGTGTTTGAACCATAAGGCCAATTCTATTTTGGGAAAACGGCGGTCAGATCTTATTCAGAGGCCTATCTAAGGGTCTCCAGCAAAAGGGGCTATCATCCGAGGCTCCGGTTGCATGACCATTTGGAGTTTGATGGCCTGAAGGTGAGAAGAGACAAAAAGAGTTATTAGAAAACATCTATTAAAACACACAAGTGGGGGTTAAGGACAGTTCAAAAAATCCCAAGGTCTTTTACTGGTTTGCACAGGGAGGGGGAGGTCAAAAGCCTGACTGGTATAAAAAGGAAAAAAAAAAAAACAAAAAACCTTTTACCCTTTTGCCAGCATGTCAGACTTCTGGGTTCCCTTCCCCTGAGCCCAACCAGTCTACGGTTTGGGAATTAACTCTTCCCAGTTTGGAGGATGCACCTGAGGGGAATGTATAAAAACAAAATTACCTAGCTGTGAAGAAAAGACAGAGGAGGAAAAAGGAAAACAGCAAGCTTCTTTTTCAGAGGAGTCCCAGAGGTTACGTTTGCATTTGAAAGGGGTACAGACTGAAGATGAATGGCTACTCATCTAGAAAGGGGAGCAGGCATCCCTAATTTCTTTCTCTTCTTAGCAAATGCCCAGGATACATGAGGGAGGAAAAGTGAGGTATTCGTCTTTCCTCTGTCCTTATATCCCTGAGTTCCGGTGACTATGATAGGGTGCCACCCATGGCTGTCAAAGCAGCTTTCAACCATGTTAACAGGGGATGCCTAGGGGGTGGGAGTATCTGCTCTTAACTGCATATGCCCTATCTCCCCTGCTGTCAGTAGCCTTTGAATTCCTTAGAACTCAATTATGCCATGAATACTAGCATGACCTTTATCCATGAAACGGGAAGCTTGGCTCAACTGGCAGGAATTAGTAATGCCCACCTGTGCTGTGCCTTTTAACTTTTGTTGTCATCTTCCTCTAGGTCCCTCAGATCCAGTTTGTTTGTTTCTTTCTTTGTTTTTCTTTCTCTCTCTTTCTCCCTCTCTTTCTCTTTCTCTCTTTCTTTCTTTGATGGAGTCTCACTCTCTTGCCCAGCCTGGAGTGCAGTGATACAATCTTGGGCTCACTGCAACCTCCACCTCCCAGGTTCTAGTGATTCTTCTGCCTCATCCTTTCCAGGAAGTGGGACTACAGGCATGTGCCACCATGCCCAGCTAATTTTTGTATTTTTAGTATGATGGAGTTTCAGCATATTGGCCAGGCTGGCCGCTAACTCCTGACTTTGTGATCCACCCGCCTCAGCCTCCCAAAGTGCTGGAATTCCAGGTGTAAGCCACCACGTCCGGCCCAGATTTGTTTTCTTCTTGGGGCTTTCACCCAAAACTTAGAATTGAGCTTGAGACCAAAAATGTGTCTCAGTGGGGAGGGGTGTTATATGAACTACTTATCATAAGCCAAATGCTAAGGTGAAGCTGTGAAATTGAGTCCTTCTCCAGCAAGGGAGAGAAAGGGTGTCTTGTGACACTCCCAGATAACTGTCTAAGATTACGCCCAGATAACTCCCAGATATGCTTGCTAAGATTTGAGTGCATGGGGTTTGGCTTTGGTTAAATCCATTGGTCTTACTTTCCCAAAAAGGAGACTTCCGGGTGATGGGCACCCACTTCCATCACGTGGCAGGATTTGCAAGACAATTGCTCAGAACCAGTACATTGATCCAGATTTTTACAATACCCGTCCCTCCTGTTCCTTTTGAACTGCAGCTGGTGATCACTGGTTGGTTTATAGGAATAAGCAGGGTTAGTTTAAAATGTAGGCAAAAACTAAAAATCAACTAATGAGTCAAGAATTCAATGGCAAATGTATGATCAATTTTGAAACATAATTTAATCCTCATTTCTGTTTAAAACAAATCATAAGACTTTGTTGTTTGCAAAATAGACTTAATCTTGTACTTGATCTGCTTATTTGCATAAAGTGTGGCAAGAATACTTATTTCTACATATGCCTTTATATTTTTATTTATTAACTTATTTTGAGACAGAGTCTCACTCTGTTGCCTAGGCTGGAGTGCGGTGGCATGTTCGCAACCTCTGTGTCCTGGATTCAAGTGATTCTCCTGCCTCAGTCTCCCAAGCAGCTGGGCTTACAGGCATGTGCCACCATACCCAGCTATTGTTTATATTTTTAATAGAGATGGGTTTTCACTATGTTGGCCAGGCTGGTCTCAAACTCCTGACCTAAAGTGATCCACCTGCCTCGGTCTTCCAAAGTGCTTGGGTTACAGGTGTGAGCCACCATACCTGGCTTTACACACACCTTTTAGATTGGCTTTGATGGGGCTCTGTTCCACAAGGAATCCCAGATAAGACCTTTTCAAGGTGAGCCCAGCCATGGGTTTGTATCCTCAAATACCTATTAGCTGGGTAAACTCCTCTCTTCTTGAGGTCCCAAGACTATGTGGTTGCTGTTGGAAAGTTACATTCTTTACTCTCGAAAGGTTTGGAACCCTGTCCAGGGACTGTGTAGCCCAGAATATGAGCCCAGTTTTCCCAAAGGGCTTTTATTAGCTCTGCAAGATGAGCTTGACTCCTTAAAAGTAGCATACCCTTCCAGTCCAAGCCCTGGTAAAACAAGCAGTTTCTCCAACTGTATCCTGTTGCAAAAGGATTCTTATTGCTCTGATGCAAATAACTATATTGCCATAAGTTAAGAATACTCAGATAGTTTCCAAATTCTAGAGGTATATGAGGGAGGGAAAGTGAGGAATTCTTCTTTATTTCCTCTGTTCTTGTATCCATGAGTATTGGTGACCACCACAGGGTGCTACTCATGATGTCAAAGTGGCTTTCACTCGTGTTAACAGGGGGGCTTAGGGAGTAGGAGTATCCATTCTTATCTATGTACGCCCTATCTCCCCTATCCAATCCTACTATGTATGCCCAATCTCTCCCCAGTCAGAGAGAAACAAACATATTCCAAATTGTTTACACACCTTTCTCAATTATTAAAGTCTGTAAATAGCTCAAAATACGTTTCCTTGACTCTGAAAAATGAAACAAAGATTAGCAATATTTCAAGCAAAAGTCAAAAAGATTACTTCAGTTTTCTATTAGTCTATTTAGTTAGCTCTTGTTTTGCTTGAGATTCGTGAACATTTCAGATCTTCATGAGTCCTGTATGGTTTTCCGTTATTCCAGTGTTATAGTCTCCAAAGTTATCAGAAACCTGTATTTGAGAGCACTTGTCAGGGTCCCAGAGTTTATATAAGCCGTCTTTTGAAAAGGATCAAAACAGGACAAACATTGTTTGTGAATAACAAAATGTACAGGGTGGTTACAGTCAGAAAGAAGATTGACCAAGAAATGTGGTTATCTCCAAGCTTTTATAAAACTTAACATAACAACCTTAATTGTGATTGATAGCATATACTCAGACATTAGAATTTTAGATATCCCACATAATTTTGGAACCTATGTTAATATTATTTCCTAAAATATAACCAGAAAATTAAACATCATTTTGGCAATCCCATGTACCTAAACACATTAACTAGTCTGTTTGCCTCTCTTGTGGATGCTTCAGAGGTCCTCTGTAGCATCGAAAAGCCAGGCATCAAGAAACATAATTTTGAAACTGAAGTTTAATTTGGAGAACCCTATTAAATGTTAGAGATTTAAAACATTTAGTGTTATGAAATAGAATTCCAGATGACCACAAGTTATTTATTTTGTCAAAATGATGACTCAGAAATTTTTTTAAAAAGCAAAACCTTTTTTAATGCTTCACAAATTTTGCTAAAGAGCAGTTTAGTGCCTTGAGAGTACCTTGTGCTTTTATTTCAATGCTCAATTTACAGAAAAACCATAAAATACCCTTTTGAATTTAGTTAATATGTTCACATATAAAATTTCATTTGCAAGATGAATTTTTATAATCCTTCCACAACTTTTTAAACTTTTAGCTTTATTTCATCTAATTCAAAACAATACTTTAGGCAAAAATTAACTTTTTGATGACATCTGCATGTTACCAATAATCTTTTAGGCTGTTTTTGTTTCTGAAACATTAAAGTCATGCGAACTAAAAGATACATCTTTTTTTCTTCCCTTTAGAAAAATATTTGTTCCAAGAGCTTATTCTTCTTTAAGTCAATTAATTAGTGCTTCTTTTTTTATAGACATCACACACACAACACATATATAACTACACAGACAGGCAGAAGAAAACCCAGCAGCCCCAAGATTTTTCATTCGCCAATCTCCTAATTGGATTATTGGTCTCTGAGTGGAGCCCTTTAAGAGACAGGGCTAGGAAAACATGCCATAAGTGGGGAAATAAACAGATTTTTAGAGGAATCTATCCACTTTTAATTCCTGGGGTTCTCTTTCAAATACAGATTTCTTCCCAAAACAGGGTCAGTGGCACCTTCTCTGTCTTTCCCAAGGAGTCCCATGCCCACAGAAGTTATCGTAGAGCCTCTCATGTGAGCATTGAGTGGCAAGACAAAATGGAGAAAAATAATTCAGTTGACAGAAAAAAACCTTTTTCCAGCAAAACAAAATTCAAATAAAGAAAAGCATAAAGACCTTCTAAATATACCTAAAACTTGAATATCCACTTTTAATTAAGCTGTGCACTCGTTAAGAAAATCCTTTTGACTCCCCCATTCCCCAACTGAAGCCACACCAAGCAACCAGTATTTCTGGTTTTCAAACTTTAGTAAAGGCTTAGAGAAAGAAAAATCCAAGGCAGTTCGTGGACCAGAAGAGAATCAAAAAATAGCAAAGGTCACCTAGATACCAAACCAGAAAGGACTCATTCCCAAAGCCAAGATTGAACCTGGCCACCATTGTAAAATTACAGAGGCTAAACAAAACATTGCCATGTGGTTACAGGTTATGCTCCCAAGGACACAAAACAAAATGGAAGCCTGCAGCAAAGTTTGCTACTGATTATACCAGATTGGCTACAACTTAAGACCAAAGTCACAAATCCTTTTTCATAATTAAAACTTTACAGGGAATATAAACAGCGATCCTTATCATTCCTGGCCTAGGAAAACATATAAAAGGAAAAAAAAATCTCCACTTAAAAGTTAACTATTAACAGGGTAGAGAAAAGGGCAAAAAGTTTAATGTGCAGGGTTGGAAAGATGCCTGGGGAAAAAATCTCTTATTCTTATGCAAATGTGTTTCTCCAACTGGGAGAGAAACTTAAGATGGGCTTTGAGGAGCCACCAGTTTACCTGGCCACCTCCAAAAAAGAAGGAAAAGGCTGACATTCCCGACCCTGGGGAGCAATGTGGGAATGGGGAGGGAGGCATAATTTCCTCTACCCTCAGAAGTCCAAAGACAAAAAGGTTTAAAATCAAAAGGAAAAAAAAATGTGGTTCTATCTTACTCAACTTCCCTCAACTCCCACATTGGGCATCAAAAATGTTGCAGAAATTTGCTCCTTAGTTGAGCTAAAACTCAGGTTTTTGTCACATGACCAGAAAAATGTAGGCACACAGACACATTGAAAGGATGTGTAGAGCAGGACTCTATTGGGAAAAGAGCAAAAAGAAAAAAAAATCAGCAAAGTGAGATGGAGTCCTGCTAACAGGCCATCACTCACAGGTTGATTCCCAGGTCATGACACAAGCTGAAGAGAACAAGCTCCGCACCTGCATAAGGCGCAAACTCCCCGTGGCTTTACCCACTTCTCCAGTGCACATGTCAGGCTCCAGTCTGCGGTGAGCATGCCCAGACAAGCCCTGGACAGGTTTCCTCATCCACACAATACCATTTTATGTAAACAATTGTCGTGTGGGTTGGAGATTCTCCAGGGACCCCTTTTTATCTGCTTAAGCATTTTGATGTCTCAGAAGTATATGGTAATTGTTCTCCACAGTGCCTACATTCCCATTCCAACTTTACACACTTACCAGTTTTGTGAATTAACTCCTAAGAACATTTTTCACTTTATTTTATTTTATTTAGACAGTGTCTAACTGTCGCCCAGGCTGGAGTGCAGTGGTATGATCTTGGCTCACTGAAACCTCCATCTCCCAGGTTCAAGCAATTATCCTGCTTCAGCCTCCTGAGTAGCTAGGATTACAGCCACACACCACCAGACCTGGCCAATTTTTTTTTTTTTTTTTGGTATTTTTAGTAGAGATTGGGCTTCACCATGTTGGCCAGGCTGATCTCGAACTCCTGACCTTAGGTGATCCAACCAACCCATCCTCCCAAAGTGCTGGAATTACAGGAGTGAGCCACCATGGTTGGCATAAGAATATTTTATGACTTACCTTGTCCCGAGTTAAGAATTCAAGATGTCTTATACTTTAAAACAAATCAAAAAATGCAATTTAAAGGTAGGTAATGAAAAATAAGTCAAAATAAAAATAAGAATAATTAATGTAGTATGAAGTGTCATAACATTTCAAATTATGTAGTGGTCAGAATAGTGGTAACCTTTTGTGGCATTCTGATAGGAAAAGGACATGGAGGCAGCTTTCTAGGGTGCTGGGAATATTCTCTATTTTGATTTAGGTAGTAAATTTATGAACTTAAAAATCACATAGTATAACAAAAGTTCATTAATCTGTACACTTAAGATTTGTGTGCTTTACTGTATGGATGCAATATCTCAATTTAAAAGTAATTTTTAATGATTATTTGACTCCAGCATATCCATCAAAAGAGGAACAGAGATTTATCTCTGAGGTTTCTGATGGTCAATAAACAAAAAATGGACATCTATTTAGTTTCATAAATCACAGTATAAAAAGGATAGCAAAAAACATACTCTACCATAATGAACCATAACCTGTTTAACAATTGTACAGAAATATCTGCTTTTTATAGCTGGTGAGTAGGGAGAGGAAAAGGGATGTTGGGTATAGATTTAGTTACATAAATAATACATAATATTAATTAACCAAACTTACTTAATCTTATTTCTTATATATTTTGTAAGCACATTCTAAAACCACATCCTAATTCTATTGCAGGAAACAAAGCATTATAGCCATCCTGGGAGCAAACAGGAAACACACTCAACATTCCACAAAAATGTCTTTCCCCTTTTGAGAGCAATACCTTGAATCATGAGGTTTATGAATAGCTGTATAAGGCTCCCTGCAATTTTCTCTGGTATTACATACTGTGTTACCCATTCATGAAACCTCGCTTATTATTTGTAATCTAAGTAGGAAAGTAAAGGGTTGTTGAATAATAAGAAATGTCTTGGCTTCTGTAGAATCACCTGTCCACACAGGCAGAATAAATGGCTCAAAAATTGAAGGGTATAATTGAAATAGGCCGGCCTGGAGAATTTGTAGAGCTATAAAAAATATTATGATCCTTGGGATAGATGTGAAGATTTGTGTGTGTTTGTCAGCATTAAAAACACAATCCTCAAAGAAATACTAATCTGACATCAAGAAAAACTGATATCAAAACTGTTTCTTGATCATTCATTTTCTCCTCAGAATTAAAATGATAAATTTGTTTTAAACTAAGCCATTTAACTAGTTTTCGACAAGGTTTAGATCAGTGAGGGGCTGGTTTCCCACTGGGAAATATAGTGGAATAGAATAGGAAGAAGCAGATGAAAACTAGAAGTAAATTAGATTTCTTCTGACATTTTCCCCTTCCTTAAATTAATTTTGCTATTTTATGATCTTTTGGACTGTTTTATTAATTTATAATAAATTCATAAAGCAGGAGATCTTTCTCCAAAGTCTCTAAAATAATGTATAAGGTAACCGTGATAGTGTCGATGAAAAGAGTCCAACTCTAAAATATTAGATTTATTCTGAGCCAAATATGAGAGACCATGATCCATGACACAGCCCTCAGGAGGTGTTGAGAACATGTGCCCAAGGTGGTTGGGCACAGCTTGGTTTTATATATCTTAGGGAGACATGGGGCATCAATCAAATACATTTAAGAAATACATTGGTTTGGTTTAGAAAGACAGGACAACTCAAAGCAGGAGCTTTCAGTCTATAGGTAAATGTAACATTTTCTGGTTGACAATTGGTTGAGTTATCTG